TATATATATATATATATATATATATATATATATATATATATATATATATATATATACTCCTGCTATAAGAAACTAAAAAAAAAAAAATTGTGACAATTCACAAGTTACTGATAGAAAGATAACACTTTCTGGATTCATGAATCATAACCATTTGAATCAAAGCAATAAGCTTAGTTATTTATAATTATCGATTATGAATAATTGATAACTGATAAAGAAACATGATATAATTTATTCATGACCGTACAGTAAATTCTCACATATCCGTATCATCGGTTAGAAATAATTAACTTTGTCTAGCGAGTATCTTATTTCTTAGATGCATTTCGTAGCATATATATTTTATATAAACATATATTATATAAAATTTTATTTTTCTGATCCGGATATACGGAACTTTAAAGTTAGTTGTAAGATAAAATATGTCAGTATGACCTATATGAATATTCCCTATATTAAAGTCACGTAAAAAAATAAATAGTAAATGCAACATGATGCAGTCTTGGTAAATGAATATGATGAAATCATGTTGCCGGCACATGATTTTATCATGCTACCGCAACATGATTGTCATGTAGCCAAAACATGACAAATCATGTGGCTGCAACATGATTTCATCATGTTTATTTACCAAGACTGCATCATGTTGCATTTTTCTAATTTTTTTTCATTCAAAATATTCTTTTTCTGCCCTCCGGCCGGAAAGTGGCAACTTTCTGGCCGCTGCGTTAAACAAAGTTGCCACGTTCCGGCTACGTTGAGCAGAAAAATAGTATACACACCTTGGCCAGTAAAAAGTAAAGCCTCAGATCACATGTTTGTCAACCTCGGCTTCGCCTCGGCCAACAATTACATGTGATCTGAGACTTTTCTTATTTTACTGGCCTAGGTATGTAATATACTATTTGTACAGCTATAATATATTTGTCTTTGAAAATAAAAAAAAAGCGATAGAAAATGATGAAGAAAATTAATATTATAATGAAGCCTATTACTTGCGACACTTATTTGAATATCTGAATATTGAGTAGATGAGCGGTGCAGGATCGTCCAGGTATATCCACCGTTTACGATCCATTGGTAGTTTATTATCCTCTAGAGTACTTCCGGCGACCTCATAATGACCCAGTTCTTTTTAACGAAAAACCAACAGGCCCATAATGAAGACCCAAAAATTTTTATTGCTTTATTGACTTGTTTTTTGGCAATTGCCCCAGAAAAAAAAAAAAAACGAGATCCCAGAAGTGGGATCTCATTTTTTAAACTTTTTTAGTTACATTCAAATAACGGTCGTATTTTTTATTGATCTCTATATTTTTAAACATGGCTCCGGAAAATTTGACTAAAAAATAGTACAATAGTTGTGACCTGACCCCGGAGATAGTCGGAGAATTTTTTACAACTTTGCACTGATTTCTGACCAAAACAGCCCACTTTTTTGTCACTTTTATTTCCATAAAAAATTTTAAATATTTTTTAAGGCCCTAAAATACTCTGCGCAAGTGTAATAAAAAACATTATTTATATGCCCTGAGATTATAAACATGTAAAATAGTTCTAGTTTAACTTTCGACCTTTTTCAAGCTAGTGTTATGGGTTATGTTTTCGGTGTTTTGGTAGCCCCGCAATTACTCCCGGTAAAAAAGGAGCGATAGGGAATGGAGAATGGAGAATTGAGAGGAGAAAAGAAAGAAGAGTCAAAATAAAATAATAAACCAAGAACAAGAAAATATAAAAGATGCTGGACGATAGACGGAGGTTTCCGGACACGCTACGGATCCTGATGCCCCCATTCATGTTCAGACTCGGTTTCATTCATCTAAAATTGCCCGGCTAACAATTCCCGAAAACTGCCCGGCTGATGGGTGAAGATTTTTATTTACTAACTTTAAAATTGGGACATTTTTTTGGGGAATTTTAAACAAAAATTTTGGATTTTTAAGTCGTAATAATAAAAGTGAAAAATTAATGTCTATAAAAAAAATAATAAGTAGAAATACTTTTTTTATTGAATTAATACTACTTAATTGTATAAACCTGCAAAATATTATCGTT